GCCGTTTCCCGGCAACAGGCTCGCCCCTCCTCCCCCCGCTTCCTTGCACTCAGCTCCTCACTTCCTTATCCACGCGACCTATCCACGCACAGAACATCGCCAGGTCGGCGGTGGTTGGAGGGTTTCCTGGATCCGTCACTCGGAGACTCCGCCCACCATTTCTTCCGGCTGCCGGGGACGGAGCGGAGCGGAGGGTTTGCGGGCTGCCCGGCAGGCAGTTGCGGTAGGTGGGGCGGGGCGGGGGGCCCAGCATTTTGTATCCGCGGTGCCGGCCCCATCCTGGAACGCCGCAGGGAGGCCTCGGAGCCTGACTCATCCCGCCCAGCCCGTCCTGGAGGCCGGAGTGACGGAGGCCCGTCTGGACACCCAAGTTCCCTGCGCTGTCCGGGACTTCCTAGGAGGGGAGGGGGACCGGGCTCCGGGGCGAGGCAATGTTTGGTGTGGGTGCGTTTGCCAGCGGTTCTCAACCTGTGGGTCGCGACCCCTTTGGCGGTCGAACGATCCTTTCACAGGGGTCGCCTAAGACCATCCTGCATATCAGATATTTACATTATGATTCATAACAGTAGCAATATTACAGTTATGAAGTAGCAAAAAAAATAATTTTATGGTTGGGTCATAACATGAGGAACTGTATTTAAAGGGCCAGAAGGTTGAGAACCACTGCATAAGCCAAGCTTATGCCCCCTAATTCCCAGTTATCTCCTGGCTTCACCATGATCCATCAAGGAAATGATTTGGTCTGTCACCAGGCCATTTGGCTCACCAATCACTGCACCTGGGCTGTTTCCTCACTGGGACAAGACTTGATTTGTTATGAAAGCCTCCAGGACCTACCTCTGCTAGGGCCACTTTCAGTATATTCCCAATCAGGCAGAATGGTATCTGGTAAAACTACGGATTTTGGAGCGGCACCGGTCTGGTTTCCAATCCAGGATTCACCATATATCAGCAATTGCCCTTCTGGTCCTTAGATCCTACAGAGTCTTCATCTGCACAATGATGAAAATGTCTATTAGTGTTTCTATTGAAATAACAAAAGCTCAGCTTCTACCTCTAATGAGCAAATGGGCCTTTGCATATGACAGTGCTCTCTGCGAGACACTTTTCACCAAGCAGCACTTTTGCACTTTTGTTATCCTTGTGCATATGGAACTGTGCAGGACCTTTAGTGCCTTATTGAAAACGGAATTTAAATATATTTTTTTTTATTGATTTTTCACAGAGAGGAAGAGAGAGAGAGATGGGAACATTGATAAGTGCTCTCTGCGAGACACTTTTCACCAAGCAGGACCCTTCAGTCCGCAAGCCGACGCTCCATCCACTGAGCCAAACCGGTTTCGGCGAAAACGGAATTTAATTAGCTGAGGACAGAATTGTTGAATCTGGGAGCTTTTTGGAGAAAAGTGCAAGCTGATTGTCTTCACTGGAAAAGTCATGAAATGTGCACACCACCTGTGGGATGTGTGTGTGTGTGTGTGTTTTAAAACATACAAAAGTAAAATTTGCCATTTTAACCATTTCTAGATATATAGTTCAGTGGCTTTCACATTGTTATGCAACTATCACCACCACCGATCTCTAGAACTTCCCAAACTGGAACTCTGTACCCATTAAACAATAACTTCCATTCCCCCATTCCAAAAACCCCTGGCAACCACTGTTTAGTTTTCTGTCTCTATGAATTTGACTGCACTAGGCACCTTACATAAGTGGCATCATCCAATATTTATCCTTTTGTATCTGGCTTGTAGAAATTCCATTTTTAAATATATTTTATTGATTTTTTTACAGAGAGGAAGGGAGAGAGATAGTTAGAAACATCAAAGAGAGAGAAACATCAATCAGCTGCCTCCTGCACACCCCCCACTGGGGATGTGCCTGCAACCAAGATACATACCCTTGACAGGAATTGAACCTGGGACCCGTCAGTCCGCAGGCTGACATTTATCCAGCTAGGGCAGTGGTCGGCAAACTCACTAGTCAACAAAGCCAAATATCAACAGTACAACGATTGAAATTTATTTTGAGCCAAATTTTTTAAACTTAAACTATATAGGTAGGTACATTGTTACTAACTTAATTAGTGTACTCCTAAGGCTTAGGCAGAGCCACACTCAAGGGGCCAAAGAGCCGCATGTGGCTCGCGAGCCACAGTTTGCCAACCACGGGTAGGACGTAGAAATTCCAGTTTTGAAGACAAACTTCATTGTGAAAACAACTTGAGTGTAGAGCCAAAAGAGGAACCCAATTTCCTTTGTGTCATCTTTTTATCTCTAACACAGAAACCTAATAGAAGACATTTTAAGTTTTGTTAAAGTTCTTAAAAGCCTATTACCTTCCATGGGTAAACATATATCTGAATACTACATACTTACACTGTATCCTTAACGCCAGTCCTTGCTCACTTGAGCTTCTGTTTTTTCAGCTCAGATTCCAAATGAAAATGTTTGAAAGCATTGACTCTACAGCTACAAAATCTGGCCCGGATCTTTGGGCTGAAATCTGTTCCTGTTTGCCAAATCCTGACCAAGCTGATGGTGCCAAAAATGCCTTCTCAGACTCCTTTATGGATTCTTATCCTGCAAGCACAGGCCAGAGAGAAGCCCCGGACTTTGCTACTGAGCCATCTATAAAGCCTTGGGCTCCCTTGCAGGATTCAGAAGTGTATTTAGCATCTTTAGGTAAGTGAGATGGCTTTTTTAAAAAAATCATAAACTGATGGTTTTAAAGATGCTTGTTGAAGTTCCTTTACATTAAACCTGGTTTTCTGTTCTTTTTTAAAATTCTCACCCAAGGATATTTTTTCCATTGATTTTTAGAGAGAGTGGAAGGGAGGGAGAGATCAGGAGAGAAACATTGATATGAGAGACACATCAATTGGTTGCCTCCCACACAGGCTCCAACTGGGCCTGGGGCTCCAACCTGCGACCCAGGTATATGCCCTTGACTGGGAATCCAGTTGAAACCCTTCAGTGCACAGGCGGACAGTCTAACCATTGAGCCACATCAGCCAGGGTGGTTTTCTGTTCTTAAAAAAATTTTTTTTTGTCCTCACCACATGTATCTGTCAGGTGTAAGTAAGTATAGGGGTTGTTTCAGGCTGGTTGTGGGAAGGACCCCATTTTCCTTGTACATAGGGATTAAAATGATCTTTGCAATCTCTTACCTCTGTTATATCTAAATTCTGCTTTATGCCCTAGCTGGTTTGGCTCAGTGGATAGAGCGTTGGCCTGGGGACTGAAGGGTCCCAGATTCAATTCCAGTCAAGGGCACATACCCGGTTGCAGGCTTGATCCCCAGTAGGGGGCATGCAGGAGGCAGCCTATTGATCTCTCATCATCCATGTTTCTCTTTCTCCTCTTCCTTCATCTCTGAAATCAATAAAAAAAAAAATATTAAAAAATATTCTGCTTTATTTCTTGCCTACTATTGGTGGCTCATATATTCAAATAACTCAAAAATATCAAATCTTATGCTATCCTAAAAGAAAAGGTCATGGCCTAGAGCTACATGTGGATTTATGATGCTACAGTTTGAAAAACTGTTATAGTAGATAGATTGATTGTTGGAATGGGAGCATATTGACATAAAATTCATTCTGCCTCTTGTTAGCTATTTTATTTTTTTAATATTTCCTCAACATATCTTCACAGTCCTGTCTTATGGCCTTAAGTGTAAGTATTTAGAAAGACTAAATATACAAGAAAGAGATTCAGATTGTTCCAGGCTAGGGGAAAGATAAATATCAGTCGAGGGCAGCCATTTCCATGCTTTAAAATTGTAGTATATTCTTTTTTTAAAAAATATATTTTATTATTGATTTTTCACAGAGAGGAAGGGAGAGGGATAGAGAGTTAGAAACATCGATGAGAGAGAAACATCAATCAGCTGCCTCCTGCACACCTCCTACTGGGGATGTGCCCACAACCAAGGTACATGCCCTTGACTAGAATCGAACCTGGGACCTTTCAGTCCACAGGCCGACACTCTATCCACTGAGCCAAACCAGTTAGGGCAAATTGTAGTATATTCTTATTATTAAACATTCATGAGACCCATCTCCATGTCACAAAACCAAACGTAGGAATAATTGTTTAAGGAAGGAAAGGCAATTCAGGAAGAAGAAGCTTTTAAGAAAGGATAGAAAGAAGAGTCAAGTAGAGTTTACATAATTGCTGAGAAATATCTTGGAAAAACAAAAGGAATTTTGATAACTGTGTACTGGAGGAAAAGATAGGAGAAAAGCAGGTGGAATGATGGATGATGAGAAAGATGAGGGTGTAATGTGAGATTCTCAGGAAGCCACCAAAGAGGCTATGACCATGACTGAGGAGGTTGGCAGTTCTGTTTTGTGGTAGTCAGAACATCTGTTTAATGATGATAAGAAGAAGAAGCAACATTCTGAGAAAACTAAAAAACCAGATCCTTTGGCTTGTTGGTCACTGTGCCCAAGGGTTATAAGAAACTTTCCTGGGTTACAGACATGGTGGCTGTTAGGATGGGAAAGCTGACAACTCTACCTGCAAGTCTGATGTTTGCATTTATATGTGTGCATGCATCCAGAGAAGAGGAATCCAAAAAGGAGCTAGTGAAAGCACCTCTCCAGTCTAAACATGTTGCAGAGCAGCCTGGTAATTTACAAGTGGGCTTTGGCTCCGTCCACACTGCAGCTGGTCCTTATATTGGCTGGTGCAAGGGTTTTTATGTCCTTGTGGAAAATGGGATAATGGATACTGTACAATTTGGAAAAGAGGCATATGTTTATCTTGAAGAATCCACCATGGAATTTTCTTCTGAAAACTGGACTAATTAGTTTCAGGATTGGCAGGCTTGGTTTCAGCTAGAAAAGGTTCTAGATTTAAGAAAATTGGTTTTCCACTGGGACGGACCACTTTAGGAGCAACTGTTTATTATCAGTTCAGTCCGTAACAATTGCACAGGTAACTAGAAAAAAGGCATATGGTACAAGCCAGAAAATTTGTGAAGCAGGTAAATTATTATGGAAAACAAACAAACAAAAACACCAAAAAAGAATCACTTCCTGAACCTAAAGAAAAAACAAAGCTAGGAAGCTCTACTGAAATAGAAATACCTGCAAAAACAACTCACGACTTGAAACATTCCGTTTCTTTGCCAACAGAACTCAGCTCTGAAACAAAGACCAAATCAGAATTCACCTCAGGTGCTACACAGTTCATGCCTGACATGGATCATGGGTCACAAGCAGTCCCCGCTAGAAGGTGTAGATATGTACAGCAGTAGAAGCTGAACTAGTCTAATAGAGAACTACAGATGTGTGAAGTTCCAAATAATGACAAAAAAGATCATGTAATAAGTAACTGTGACACATAGAGTACAACTTAAAGCAAGTTTATCCTTTAGATCTTCTAATGGATAGTTTGGCCAGTCACATAAATGTTTAAAACACACACAGCAAATATAATTCAAATACTATTAAATGATTAGTGAAGAGGCAGTAGTATTAGGATGCATTTGATGATTTTCAAGGGTGTTTATAAAAACAAGAAAAAATAGAGTGTATATGTGAACATTTATGAGACTAAAATTTGAAGAAACATGTATGTGTATATATAAATACTTATACACAGGTATATGTGCTTTAGCTTTTTGTAATTAATGTCAGCTAAATTAGAATGGTGTATGGAAGGATGTGTTTTATTTCCCAGAGCTGGAATAAAATATCCATATTTTATGACAAAATAAAAGAAGCTTTCATGGGGTTCAGTGATAATTTTGATTGGTTCAGAAAGTTAAAATTCCCTTGATATTTTCTAAAATCAGATAAGATGATGATTAAAATTTCCTTCTCTGAGGAAAATAAGAACCATTTCTGGCTCCTATGGCAGAGTTTGGGAGACAATGGCAGGCAGATTTGGAGTATGTAATGGCACCTGCTTCTGCCTGCCCAACTTAGGTCACACCTGATCATGGACTCAGCACTCTCAGAGAGGGGAAGACCTGCTGAGTGATTCCTTCCACGACCCGCGTGGAGTAGGGTTCGGTATCTGAAAGAAGAGCCGCACAACAAATGAAAGAAAGAGACACAAATTCACTGTTCTGACCTTTACTAGAACTTCAAAGGTTACTAGCCTTTTTTGGGGGGTCTCTGTCCAAACCCAGCTAGTAAAGACAATGAATGGACTCCAGCAAAGACCTTTTCCAGCCCAAAAGAGCACCTTCCACCTTGACAGCCAAGGACAGACAGTATAAAGATTGTTTTTTTGTTTTGCACACCACCTACTGGGGATGTGCCCACAACCAAGGTACATACCCTTGACTAGAATCGAACCTGGGACCTTTCGGTCCGCAGGCCGACGCTCTATCCACTGAGCCAAACCAGTTAGGGCTATAAAGACTGTTTTTATTGCCACATAAACTATATCAAAGATAATTCACTAAGATCACCAATTAAACCTTAGTCAGTTCAACATGAGATGTACATAATTCTTTTCATATCCTCAAGGAGAAAAAAATTCCTCAAATATTTTACAGGTGTTCTGCATGGGTGAGCGCTTGGAGGTAACTTGCATCAACAGAAGGTACTTATTGTTTTAATCAGTGGATGCTAGCTAATGTGGCTTATCTATAATAATAAAAGGATAATATGCTAATTAGAAGGACGTCGTCCTGGATGTCCTTCCTGAGGAAGCCAGGGCCGGAGGGAAGCCAGCTCAGGTTCTGGGTGCCTGCCTATGGCCGGAGGAGGGAAGCCTGCGTCCCAGGTGCCGGAGAGAAGCCGGTGCCGGCAGCCGGGGGAAGGAAGGCCTATTCTTGCATGAATTTTCGTGCACTGGGCCTCTAGTTTAGAAATGAAAACAGGATTGTAAATCATAAAGTTTCCATTGGTTCTGGGCTCGATGTTCACCATCCCCAAAAGCTATCATTTACCCATTTATTATAGTTGAAGGCAAGACTAAACAAAGGCAGAAGGTACATGGTGATACCCTCTCTTGTATTCTTCAAAGGGGGATATCAATTCTCAACAGTTACACTTAAAATGCAAGTAAGAGTAATTAAACATCTATCATCAGGAAGCCATATGGACCACTCTCAAAGAGATTACAAGATGTTTGTTTTTATTAGGCTCCAACATCCAGGCCCGAAGTTGAGCAACTTTAAAAAATGTTGGGAGATTCCTTCTCTTTAATCAAGAATTTAATCACACATAGAAATCTTACAAGTCTCTTATTGAGTTCTTATCAAGTCAATTTTAATGTCTAATGAACCGTTGGATCTCTCATCATTTTCTCTAAGTCTTTCTCATGAGGTTTGGCAACCACTTTATGTCACTGTAACAAAAAGAAAAACCATTTACTCCTCAGAGAGACTGTTTTCAAGGAGTTAAAAAAAGATGATAGTATACACGTGTCAAGCCAGGGAAAACAAGCATTCCTTAGAGAGATACCTGCTGGGCTTCTGTGACTTCAAAGAAAACATGCCATCAATTTATTATGAGAACGTATGGCTTTTCCCTTTTCTGGGGTTAAACATTTATTTGGTGCAATGTAGAGTGAAAACACTGTGCAGGAAAAGGAAAATTGTACATTTCTCTTTAGCTGCCCTCCTTAAAAAATTAGGGTTTTTTTTTTTTTTTGTAGGGAGTGTGGATGTACTCATCAGTCAGAGAATTTTTGAAATTGGCATTTGCAATTAAAATTTAGTTTCATTTCATATCACCTTCCTTGTTAAGCTCCATTTCTTCTCTCTTTAGAGAATAAACTGAGAAGAATCAAAGGTTTAAATCAGGAAGTGACTTCTAAGGACATGCTTCGAACCCTGGCCCAAGCCAAGAAGGAATGCTGGGATCGGTTCCTCCAGGAAAAGTTAGCGTCAGAGTTCTTCGTGGATGGACTTGATTCTGATGAGAGGTAATTGATTCCCAGGCCAGTTCTAGGTGACAGTCTGTTTTACTGTGGGCATTTCTTTTTCTCTAAAGAATTCAGGGAGAGTGACATCTGAGTTGAGATATTAGTTGGTATCAACATCAGCGTTTCTGAGTTAAAATCATCCTTTGTCAATTTGCTCTATTTCCTCTTAGTACAGCAGCAGATTTTTGAGAAAGGGTATTTTTGCCAAAAGGCAAATACTCCAGCCACATCTTGATCACAGATTGGATGTAGTTGAGGATAAACCATTGCCCCTTTTTTAAAAAAATTTTTTTTTATCCTCACCCTAGGATATGTTTTTTATTGATTCTCAGAGAGAGAGGAAGGAAGAGAGAGAGAGAGAAACAATCAGTTGCCTCCCATACATACCCCAACTAGGAATTAAACCCTCACCCTAGGTATGTGCCCTGATCTGAAATCAAACCCGCAACCTTTTTGGTGTAGAGGATGATACTCCAACCAACTGAGCCACCTGGCCAGGGCCATTGTCTGCATTTTTAAGTGCATGTACATAAAGCACTTGAGAAAGTAGTAATCAGTCAACAACTGGAACTATGTCTTCTTACCTCCGAATCTCTGTTGCCTTACAGAGTTTCTGTCATTTTGTAGCCTCTCAAATGTGTGTAGACTAAATGAATGATTTCCTTAAGCATCTACTGAGTGAAGGCACTGTGCCTGGTGTCCTGGTGGAGGGGAGATGTAAGGAAGTTTAACACCCTCTTTTTTTGTCCTTGTAACTAGTTGGGGAGAGATGACACATAGATATAATGATGTACCTAATATGAGGCAGCATGAGAGAAGAGCCAGGTGAGAAGAAGCGACAGGACATGCTTTAGGAGTTGAGAGACCATTGAGCTAGCTCCCTTTGGGCTCTGGTGTTTGTGCCAAGGGAGGAGGCAGGACTTGAACAGTACTTACAGGTGGGCCCGATGCAGAAAGGAGAGAGAGCATTCTGCCACAAGGCAGGGAATGCGTGATACCGGGAAAATGGCTCTGCCACTTAGTGGTGATATGTTCTTTGGTGAGTAAACTGTGTGTGCCTCAGTTCCCTCCTCTGAAGCACAGGAAACCTCATAAGGTTATGGTGAAGGTTTAATGAGTTACTGTGTGTAAAGTTCTTAGAACAGTGCCTGATACATGGTAAGTGCTATGTAAGTGTTAGCTATTATTAATATTATTCTTCCTAACAGAATCTTATTTATTTATTTATTTTTAAAGACTAGTTTATTGATTTTTAGAGAAAGAGGGAGGGAAAGGAAGATAGATAGATAGAGAGAGAGATCTATGTGAAAGAGAGGGAGAGAAGCATCGATGGATGTGAGAGCACGGTATGGATCAGCTGCATCCTGCATGCCCCCTTACTGTGATTGAGCCCACAACTGGTGCATGTGCCCTTGACCAGGAATTGAACCAGCAACCCTTGGTACATGGGACGACGTACAACCAACAGAGCCACACTGGCCAGGGTGCTAACAGAATTTTAAAGTTCAGTAACAACTTATTCAAAATAAGATCAGTGAGGGGAATAACAACCTCAATTTTAACAAAAGGTCTTGAGGGGAATATGACTTAATAAATATACAACGTATCTTTAACATTGATTTTGAGAGTCCCATTGTGTCAGATGAAGATATTGCTGCTGAAATTGTGGGAAATATGTGATAAAACTTCATACATTTTATTTTTTAATTTGCAAAGTAGCTTCACTTACATTATCTTAAATACCAAATCAGCGTTCCCCGAGATGCTTCAGAAATCAGTGTGGCATCTAAGGTCAGGCCAGCTACCTTCTCAGGTTCAGAAAAATAATACAAATTTTGCTCTTTTCTGTATCTAAACGCTCAATCCAATTGAGCTTTAAACTGCCCCAAATACAAAAGACTTGAAAATACACAGATTCCTGACTCACTAATAACTTGATGTTTTCTCTCTCCTTGAATATTTCCTTTCTTTCCAGCTCTAAGAAGAAAAGATAAAACTTTCTCCTGCCTAATTCTCAACTAAGAATTCTTTTTCTTTGAAATCAGATCAGCACCAAGGCTCGTTAACATTTCTGTGTATTTATGAATAGCTAAAATAATGTGGTTTTCCCATCTCTATAGAAATAATTGAGCCTGGCTGGCATGGCTCAGTGGTTGAACATCAACATTTGAACCAGGAGGGCATAGTTCAATTCTTGGACAGGGCACACAT